GTTGCATAGCATCATCAGCATCACTGCCCCTTTTTGAACTTCCTTCCTCTTGGGACCTCACAAACAAGCCCTTGTAGCTAGGAGCCTGGGTCCTCTGGAGCCAGGCCAGCCACCGCCTACATGTGAGTCATCCAGGAGATGACTTCCCACAGCAGGAGATGCCTTCTTGTCTAAGGAGGGTTGAGGGGCTATGTTTCTCCTTCGTCTCTCAGATAAAGCAGTGACAAGACAGCTGGAGCAGGATCTGGACTTCTTCACTAACAATGACAATAGGAACAATAATAGCAGCTACCACTGGCCATACCCTGAGAGGACAGGTCATTGAGCTGTCAGAGCACCACGGTCCCTCATCTGAGTTCTTAGGTAAGGAAACAAGTTTAGCAGGGTGGGAAAAAATGACTCACTCAGGCCACACAGAGGATGAGGGGGGCACTGAAAGAGATTCTTGTCTTAATCTGGTTTTACTTCCAGCATAGGTGAATGCTTGGGCCTTGGTGTGCCTATTTTAGGCTTCCCGTAGCTGGGATGGCAGCCATGCATCATCATATCCACTAGGGACTAAGAATGAGTCTTGAAAACTCTTCTGCCTGGACTAGTCTTAAACTGTGATTCTTCCCATTTCAGCATCTCAAGTAGCCAGGATTTCAGAGTGAGCCACTGGCACCTGGCTAAAGAGTCCAATTTTAGCAACATTCCTGCCTCATCAGTTTAGTAAGAATCTTGTTAGGTTTGTTTAACCATAATTTTCTTGTCCTCTCAAGTAATTTTCCATCCTCCTCCTTGGCAATAAATTCTCAGTTTCTCTTGTATTTAAGAGTTGAGCCTAACCTCTCTCTTACTTCAATACTCCATTGATGCTGGGCGTTAGTGGTTCATGCCTATTATCCTGGCTACTCAGGAGGGTGATATCTGAGAATCATCTCCATTGCTATAGTTCTTATACCTGTATCTCAGGGTTTTTTGGTATGTGTGTGTGGTGGTGGGGAGTTTGAACTCAGGGCCTTGTGTTCTTCCTTGGCTTTTTTGCTTACTGCTAGTATTCTACCACTTGGGTCATGCTTGAAATTCTAGCATTTTATTACTAATTGAAGATTCTCTTAAATGTGTTTTCCCTGGCTGGCTTCAAATCATAATCCTCAGGATCTCAGCCTCTGGAGTAGCTAGGGTTATATGCATGAGCCAGTTTTCTGGTAGTTTATAGGAGATAAGAATTTCATGGACTTTCCTGCCTTGGCTGGCTTTGAACCACAATCCTCATATCACAGCCTCCTGAGTAGCTAGGAATACAGGCGTGAGCCACTGGCGCCTGGCTTCTCTGAGGTTTAGCATACAGTCTATCTTAAGGTTGTTTGTTTTTCAATAGTCCTGGGGATCAAACCCAGGGCCTCACACATGCCTGGCATGTGTGAATACTGAACTACATCCTAATCCTTTTTAGTAACACAGTCTTACAAAATTGTGCAGGTTGGCCTTGAACTTGTGATCTTTCTACCTTACCGTCCTTATGATTACAGGTATATGCCACCCCACTAAGCTGTCTTACACAGTAGCTTTTTAAAAAATATGACTCCATACCTTCCCTCCTTACCAAGTCTCATTGCTGTGCCTTGCTGAGGCCTCACAGGTACATCCAGGAATGAAGTGCAATGAGGAATTCTCTAAAAGTTGCCCTGGGGCATAAAGGATGGGCAAACCTAGCTTCTACCCACTCAATATCTGCTTATATTTCAGAAGGTTCTTCATCTTCCCCTCTAGGGGGTGTCTGGTCAGTCTTCAGCAAGAATCCTGTTTGGCTGGTTTAGCCAGAATCCCCTTTAATGATGTTTCCTCTTAGTAATATTAACCCACTGCTCTTTGCCTCGACTATAAGTTCCAGTATTGTCCACACTGTTATGTGGAATGAGCCCCATGCTATACTAAGATCTCTTTTTCCTAATGCAATCATTCTGAGTAACACCTGCCTTCACTGTGGTCTGTCTAGCTCAGGTTGTTCTCTTTCTCTATCAAACAAAGCACTTGTCAGTGTGCATAAAGAAGTATTTGGGGGCTGGGAAGGTGGCTCGGTGGTAGAGCGCTTGCCTTGCATGAGGCCATGGGTTCGATTCCTCAGCACCACATAAGCAAAAAAGAAAAAACTGGAAGTGGCGCTGTAGCTCAAGTGGTAGAGCACTAGCCTTGAGCTGAAGAGCTGAGGGACAGCGCCCAGGCCCAGAGTTCAGGCCCCACGACTGGACCAAAAAAACAAACAAACAAACAAACAACAACAACAAAAGAAGTATTTGGGCCCAATTCAGTGGCTCTTTCCTTTTATTGCAACTACTTGGGAGGTTGAAATTAGGAGGATGAAGGTCTATGAAAAAACTCAGTATCCTACCTGGAAAATAACTAAAACAAAAAGGATTGGGAGTGTGGCTCAGCTGGTTGAGTGCTTGCCTAGTACTACCACCATCAACAACAACAAAAGTTTACATATGGGTTGCATCATGACAAGGGGTTTCAAGAAAGGGGTTGATAGGGTAAAGGATATCAGTATCCAGATGATTCATATCTAAGACTGGTGAACTAGAGGAACTTTGTCTTGTTTGATGAGCTGACAAAAGGAGCCAGCCAGTCTATTGGTGTCTTCTGAGGATGTGTCAGCTGTGAGGATGTGTAAGATACAGGCTGGATGTGACCCAATGGTCCAGGAGTATGTATGAGGAATGTCCCTGCCTTGGGACAGGTAACAAATATGGAGAGGGACAAGGCAAAGGGAAGCAACAGGGATATGGGCCAAGAGTTAATGGCCTCACATTTGCTCCCTCTACCTCCCTGGTCACCTGACTATGTTGCGGAAGTTATTGTCAAATGAGCATGCAACCACTGAGAAAGCCCAGGTGCTATAGTATGGGAATACTTTGACTCCCAAGGGTTTGTGTGCTGGAGGTGTGGACCTCAACACTGATGTGGTGGGGCCTCTAAGAGGCAGGGCCTACTGGGAAATCCTCAGGTCACTGGGACAGCTACCTTGGGAAGGGATTTAAAAAGCTCTTATGGCTGGATGCCAGTGGCTCATGCTTGTAATCCTAGCTACTCAAGAGGCTGAGATCTTAGGATCACGCTTCAAAGCCAGTCTGGGCTGGAAAGTCTGTGAGACTCTTATCTCCAATAAACTACCAGAAAACTGGAAGTAGTGCTGTGGCTCAAGTGGTAGAGTGCTAGCCTTGAACTGAAGAGCTGAGGGACAGCGCCCAGGCCAAGTTCAGGCCCCGTGACTGGCAAAAAAAAAAAAAAAAAAAAGTCTTATGGGATTCCTGATTCTGAGTGAGAGCAAGTTGTTATTTGATTATGAATCCTAATTTTCTCTTTTAAGATCTGATCTCTTCTTTCCTCATTACTCCACCATGGTGATTCAGTAACCATGGGGCTGCCCTACTTGGACTTTTAGCTAAATAAACTTTGTTTGCAACCTCATAAGTAATCTGCCTCAGGTTTTCTGTTATAGCAATGAGATATACACTTAACTGGTCGGAGTCATGACATCACTCAAGGAATATGAGCACAAGTCCCATGCAATGGTCCTGAATGGAAACTATCTTGACACACTTGGAAGCTTCTATACCAACCCTGGGGAACCTGGTGTGCACCCTCTTCAAGGATGCAGTGGTTAACTGGGACTTCAGAATGCAGTCAGGTGAATAGACTGAGTCACTTAAGTTTTTCAAGAAGAGATGCCCCCATAATCACCAATTTTAAGCCCGAGGTACCACCTAACTCTTTCTCCAGTCTCTCCTAAGACTGGAAGAGCTGAAAACCTGGAACAATGGAATACGGAAAGTGTTCTGCAAACCTGGAACAATGAAATACGGAAAGTGTGTTGCACTGACAAGGGTAAAGTGGCCCATCTATGTGGCTGCGTCACTTTGTGAGGCTCTGTACAGAGGCAGAGAGGGTGAACGAAGGGTAGATGGTCAAAAGGAATACTTCTGCTTTTAGACTGGGTCTTACAGTATGAGGAGGCCATGAGGCCTTGAATTCCCTAACAAGTTTCCATGGGGGATCACCAGGTAGCAGTGTGTATCTCATGAGAATCTGGCCACTCAAGGCAGGAGGACTTGTCACTGTGAACAAGGAGACTTGAGATCCTCAATGCAAAGCCATTAACTACTCAATGAAGAGTCACCTCCACCCTCCATATTTCCTGGCATTCAGTGTTTCACCACTGTATCAATTTTACTTCCTGTCCTTGGTGAAGAAAGGCGAGCTTCTGGGCGAGCCTGTTTCCACAGGCTTCTGGAAGGCTGTAACCTCTCCCCCTAGTGGCCTCAAGTGAGGATGGAAGTTCCTAGTGGTGGGAAGCAGTACCCAAGACCTAGGGTACCCACTTCTCTATTTCCAGGGAAGTGTGGGGCAGGTGGACCTGGCTGAGCTGGGACTGCTGTGGTGATGAAAGGAAGATGAACACTAGAACTTTCTCCCAGGTGTCTTGTAGAACTTCAAGAACTCTTGAGAACTTCAAGAAGCTTAAGGCAGGCAGTACCAGATGCTGTTTGGCAACAAATGCTAAACACTGGTGATGGTTTCCAGAGGCTAGATAAAACTAAGAATTGAGGATTCAGATAGTTCTCCTTAAGGACCAGGGTACCACACGCTGGTCCTGTATACTAATCCTGGAGGATGCAGTTGTTAACTGGGTCTAGACTTCAGAATTCAGTCAGGTGAATACTGAGTCACATGTTTTTCCAAGAAAAGGTGCCCCATAATAGCCCAGAGTACCACCTAACTCTTCTTCCAGTCACTCCTAAAGCCGCGGATAAGCTGAGAACCTGGCTGGGGAAAACAAGTTTAATTGAAATTCTTTTGGGGACAATCTGGGACACAACAGTTAGTCAGGCAAAAGAGCCAGAAAAAACCTGCAAAGGTGCTGTCCTTGGCAGGTGTAGACACCTCAGTGTCTACAAATGCCAAATGGAAAAGACCATGGAGCAACCAGAGAGGACAGAAAGGATTGGCAGCCTCACCTGGACCTGGCCTTTCCCCATGAGCCTGTCTGTGCTCTCGCCATCCTCCTTAGGGATCTTCATTTTGTTGTAGCACTTTTCATAGCATAGTATCCGCAGGGTCTGGGAGCCTTCCAGCTCTATCTCAAACTCCTGTTGGCCGGAGAAAGAAGAAAAGTTAACCATGAACAAACAAGTCCAGGTGTGATGCAGTCAGTCCTATTAGCTGGAGGGCCCATGCTTGAGACTCTCCTCACTTAGTCCTGGGACCTTCAGAAACATTCCTTATGGACATCACTGTCATGACACTGGCATGACCCTTGTGCTTATGAAAGCTCTGAATCCTCCCAAACCTAATCCAGACTTAGTATTCAAGCATTTCTAAACATGAGCTATGCATTATTAGTGTCAGAAGCTCAGGAGTGCTTTTAAACATGCAGATTTTCTGTTATGTGAATATGGTTTATTTTTAGGGCAAGGAAGCTATTTTGGTATTTTAGTGATAGATCCAAGTCATTATCTGTTGAAATCCATAGAATGTATAAAACCAAGAGTGAACCTTGATGTCAACGATGGAGTTGAAGTGATAACAATGTGTCATTCACTCTGGTGCAGGATTTCAATAATGTCCTCTTTAATAATTATGCTTTGAACCCAAAATTGCTAATAAAATCAAGGGCTAGGGGTGTGGTTCAAATGGTAAAGCAACTGCCTACCAACTGCCAGATCTTGAGTTCAAATCCCAGTACCACTTAAAAGAAAATGAATAAAATTGGGCTGTGAAGGTGGCTCAATGGTAGAGAGCTTGCCTTACATGCATGAGGCCCTGGGTTCTATTCCTCAGCACCATATAAGCAAAAAGAAAAAAGCCAGAAGTGGCGCTGTGGCCCAAGTGGTAGAGCGCTAGCCTTGAGCTGAAGAGCTGAGGGACAGTGCCCAGGCCCAGAGTTCAGGCCCCATGACCGCCCCCCCCCCAAAAAAAAAAGTTGGGCTGGGAAGTTGGCTCAGTGGTAGGGTGCTTGCCTTGCATGCAAGAGGCCCTGGGTTAAATATCTCAGCACCACATAAGCAGAAAAAAGCCAGAAGTGGCACTGTGGCTCAAGTGGTAGGGTGCTAGCCTTGAGCTGAAGAGCTGAGGACAGTGCCCAGGCCCAGAGTTCAGGCCCCACGACTGACCAAAAAAAAAAAAAAAAAAAAAGAATAAAATCAAGAGTGTAGCACATACTCACTGTTTGTGAGTTGTATGTGTGAGGCCTTGGGTTCCACCCCTAGTGCTATAAAAACTTTTCTTTAAAAAAAAAATGATCTAGAGAGGTGAGAGAATTTGGAATATTCCCTGGACCTTCAAGCTGTTTGCTGTGTAAGTACGGCATGAACTTGCTCCCCCATCACCCCTTCAATACCTTCAGTGGATTCTACACTTCACACCCATGCTTATACATGTATGCTTAGGCTCCAAGGGGAAAATGGAGAAGGGTAAGAGGGAAAATCAGTTCTTTCTGGAAGGTGAGTGAGGAATATGAGAGTTGAGTCCCGTAGCTTTCTGGCTCAAGCTTGGTGCTCTACCACTTGAGCCACAGCTCTACTTGTGGCTTTTATGGTAGTTAACTTGAGACAGTCACACAGCCTTTCCTGCCCAGGATGGCTTCAAACAGTATTCCTCAGATCTCAAACTGAGTAGCTAGGATATAGGTGTGAGCCACTGATGCCCAGATCTCCTTGGATCTTTCCTTCCTTCCTTCCCTCCCTCCCCTCCTTTTTTTAAAATAAGTTTTTTATTGTGAAAATACTGTACAGAGGGGTTACAGTTACATGAGCAAGATAGTGAGTACATTTCTTACCAAGCCTTGTTGCCTCCTCCTTTGTTTTACCCCTACCACCCCTTCCCTCCCACCTCCACTACACCCCTCCCCCTCACCTAAATTGTAAAGTTCGTTTTTCAACATAGTGCTTTGTACTTCTCACTGTTACAATGGGTCAACCTGTATCCTTATCTAAACACTTTGTTTTTTCCCTTCCCCTCCCCAAATTATACCAACATCAAATACAGTGAAAACAAGGGTTATACTATGGGGGAGAAACATACAAAGCAACAAAAAAATCACATGGTACCTTATAAATACATTAGAAACAATGGCAAGAAAAGAAAAAAAAAAACACTTGTATCCCTATCTTGGGGTTCATTTCGCTTAGCTTCATCTTATCTGGTCATAGTACATAGCTTTTGACCTTTTCTGCTTGTCCCTGACATATACTAGTTATTGCAAATAAGGGAAACCATTGGACCTATGTTTCTTTGGGCCTGGCTTACTTTACTTAAGATAATTTTTTCCAAGTCTTACCATCTCTCTCTCTTTCTTTGCTAATCCTGGGGCTTGAACTCAGGGCCTGGGCACTGTCTCTGAGCTTCTTTTGCTCAAGGCTAGCACTCTACCACTTGAGCCACACCACCATTTCTGGCTTTTTCTGTTCATGTGGTACTGAGGAATTGAACCCAGTGCTTCATGCATGCTAAGCAAACGCTTTACCACTAACCCACATTCTCGGCCTCCTTGGATCTTTGAAAGGAACCTTTTTTGCAACCTGTCTTAGAATCCCTTCCCTGCTGCCTTTGCAACATCCCAGACTCCTTAGTCTCTGCAAAGCCTCTCACAGCAGATTCCATGTGGTCTTCACATTTTCCCTCACCGTGTCACCATCACAGCTCTTATTATGCTCTTGTGCAGAAGTCCAGAGCTATAATGAACACCATGTTCTTTGTGCCCTCATCTTGTCCAGGCAGCAAGTCAAATGACCACAGCAGTGGATGCTGCTCAGTGAAGACCTGGGTGCTTTCTGATCTCACAGCTTCTTTCTGGTGCTCCACTAGTCACACAAATAGCATTGATCAAGCTGCCTATAGCTCATAGTCTCCTCCTCTTTCCCTAAAGGGGTGAGTGGCAGATTTGTGCCCTGGCTATTTCCACCTATACCACTAATAACAAGGTTCTGGAGGTCAGCAGACTGCTGAAGATGTTGGAAATGGCATCATGGGGTCTTGGGACATTGTGGACACTGGTCTCTTTGCAATCATGTCCATTCCTGTGGCTCCAGGCCAAAAGTATAACACAAACTAGTTCTCCAAAGTGAAAAAGAGCAGAGCAACAGACTACACCAACAAAACGGCAACTAGGACCTGAAGGGTCCTGAAGGCCTGCTTGTAGCTAGCTCCCTTTCCACCCTCCACCCCCATGTGCAGGGCTCTAGGCTTCAGGAAACTGAGAGGGTTACAGGAGTCCATTTCAGCTTCAGAGGAAATCTTTATTAAAGTAAATAATAGGCAATTACAGAGACAAGGCAAAGAGCCTTTGAAGTGCTCTTTTTAAACATTTCTCTCACAAAATAGGTTGTTTCTTTGTGTTGGGGTAGTAAGATTCTTAGGAACACAAAGATAAAATCTCTTGGACTAAAATCTCTGGAATGGATCATTTCTCCACCCCCATGCTCTCAGAGATTCCTGGAATGCTGGTGTCATAGTTTTTGAGGGAAACCCTCAGGAAGCCCTTGGAGGTTCAGAATTATGTGGCAAACATCCTGGCCAAGGCCCTTGTGGAAGGAAGGCTCCTCACCTCATTCCAGTTTGGCTCTGTGGTATCCCTGTAGACACGTGTCTTTGCTTTATTCACAAAATAACCAAAGGAATCCACCTCCAGGGTGCAGTACAGATCTGTGAGAGACAGGGAAATATATGATAAATGTACTTTTGCATCTCTTCTGTATTTTCTGTAAGAGCAAGTATTATTTGTGAAATCAGTAAAAAAAAGATCTTCAAAGTAAAACACCAAACCAGTGGCCAATGTGAATACCAGGACCTCATGCATGCCCCTGACTGCCTGTAGAGGTGGGAAATGGGACCTCTTGGAGCACTGGTCATTCAACAGTCCTCTGTAAAGCTCCTTTAGTAACAAGGGTGGGTCCTACACTGGATAGGAGGGCAGCGGTGACTGTTTCATAGCAATCTAGAGGAGTGAGTGCTGTACAACAAGGTTGTGACAGAGTTCACCCAACCTGGGAGGGCTGGTGGGGGGGGACTTGCACCTATAACTCTGGCAAGAATTATATCAGGCAAACAGCTGGGAGGGAAGAGAGCTCTAGACCAGTGTGGAGTACGGGAAATAGTTCCATGGTGCAGGGCAAGTTAGGTTCATGCCAAGAAGAGGAAGCATGGTCTGGGAATGAGTAGGGCTAGACTATGTGTGGGGTCTGGCCAGCCTGGGTAAGAAAGTCTGCAAGACTCTATCTTCGATTAACTACTAAAAAGCTGGAAATGGAGCTGTGGCTCAAAGTGGTAGAATACTAGCCTTAAGCACAAAAGTTCAGGGACAGTTCAAGGTCTAGGACAAACATACAAAAAGAGAAAAAGAAAAAAGCAAGCAAGCAAGCACAAAGAAATACCATTGGGTGGAGGAGCAGGGAGGCCACTGCCAAGGATAAAGGTATCTAAGGCAAAATGAATGGCATCTGACAGGGCAAGAGAACAGGACTTCAGAGTAGGCTCAGAGTGGGACATGGATGAGATAGATAGAAAGGTAACAGGGCAGGCTGGGAACTTCATCTGTGATGTTGACAGACAGGTCCTGGAAGGAGACATAGGAGGGAAGGAGGTCTAGGTAGGAATTTGGGAAACACCAACATATACAGGACAGCCAGGCAGAAAAGGGCACAGGGGAACAATTTATATTCTGGAGGTCAAATCTGTACTCTAAGTAATTCAACCATTGCAACTGTATGGTTTGAAGATCTCTAACAAATTTAAACACTTTTACACCAATACAATCATTTCAGGACACTGTCCACATCTATAAAGCTGTAACTCCCTACCTTCAGCCCTTGAAAACTTCTAACAGGCTGTTTCTATATTTTGTCTTTTCTATTAGGATTTGAGCCTCATGCTTGCAAAGCAAGCATTTTCCTGCTTTAACCCCCCCCCCCCACATACCCTGTCCTCGATCTTTTTGTTTTAGTTTTATTTTCAGATTAGAGTCTCAAGCTTTTTTGCCTGGACCAGACTTAGAACATAATCCACCTTCCCCTACTTCCTGAGTATCTGGAATTAAAAATATTCACCAACACATATGCTTATTTTTTGAGGTAGAACTGGGATTATAGATGTAAGCCATAGGGCCTGGTCCATTAAATGTAGTTTTTCCCATCTGGCTTCTTTTATTCAGTGTAATTTTTACTCTCATGGATATATATATATATATATATATATATATATATATGAGAGAAAAAATTGTTAATACTTTTTATTGGTTATTGCATGGATGGGCCACATTTTGTCTGTAAAAAAATTTATGTGGACATATACTCTTATTTCTTTAAAGTAAATGCTTAAGCCAGGTGCTGGTGACCCACACCTGTAGTTCTAACTACTCAGGAGGCCGAGATCTGAGAATCATGGTTCAAAGCCAGACTGTGGCACACAAATCCAAAAGATTAATCTCCAAATAGCCATAAAAAAGCTGGAAGTAAGTGGCTGGGCACTGGTGGCTCACACCTGTAATCCTAACTACTCAGGAGATCTGAGATCTGAGAACTGTGGTTTGAAGCCAGCCCAGGAAGGAAAGTCTATGAGACTCCTATCTCCAGTTAACCACCTAAAAACCAGAAATGGAGCTGTGGCTCAAAGTGGTAGAGTTTAGAGTGCTAGCCTTGAGCAAAAAAGCTCAGGGACAGCACCCAGACCATGAGTTCAAGGCCCATGACCAAAAGAGAGAGAGAAAAAAAACAACTCAGGGATAGTGTCCAGGCCTAAATTCAAGGCCCAGGACTGGTACACATAAAAAAAGTGCCAGAGGTGGAGGTGTGCTTCAAGTGATAGAGTACCAGCATTGAGTAAAAAAGCAAAGCAAGAGGGAAATGTTCATACATATACACATAGACACACACAAAGTGAATGCTTAAGAGACTGGTAAGCTATATGACAGGGAGGTACGTTTAATTTCTTAAGGAACTGTGTAATGTGGGCTAGGGTGTAACTCAGTGGTACAACATATGCTTAGTGTACACGAGGCCTTTGCTTTTATCCCTAGAAACAAACAACAACAATAATTATAATAATCATATAATTATATAATTCCCAGGGCTGGGAATGTGGCTTAGTGGTAGAGTGCTTACCTAGAATACAGAAAGCCCTAGGTTCAATTCCTCAGTACCACATAAAAAAAGCTAGAAGTGGTGCTGTGGCTCAAGTGGTAGAGCGCTAGCCTTGAACAAAAGAAGCTCAGGGACAGTTCCCAGGCCCTGAGTTCAAGCTCTAGAACTGGCAAAAATACCACAAAACACTTACATTAAAAAAAAAAAAAAACCAAGCCGGGCACTGGTGGCTCATGCCTGTAATCCTAGTTACTCAGGAGGCTGAGATCTGAGGATTGCGGTTCAAAGCCAGCCCTAGCAGGAAAGGCCATGAGATTCTTATCTCTAATAAGCCACTCAGAGAACCAGAAGTGGTGCTGTAGCTCAAGTGGTAGAGCACTAGCCTTGAGCTAAAAAACTGAGGGACAACACCCAGGCCCAGAGTTCACAGACGACAAAAAACAAACAAACAAAAAACCCTTTCCAATGTTTTCTAAAGTAGCTGAATTATGTTACATCTCTACCCACAATACATGAGGTTCCTGTTTCCTCAGGTACTCACCAACATATGTTGGTGTTTACCTTTTTGTTTGCTTTGTTTCTGTGGTATTTTTAAAGTGTTCTATGAGTCAGCTCTAGTGGGCATCTTTTGTGTGTGCTAGTCCTTGGGCTTGAACTCAAGGCCTGGGTGCTATCCCTAGCTCAAGGCTAGTGCTCTACCTCTTTAACCATAGCTCCAACTTCTGGCTTTTTGTCAGTCAACTGGAGATAAGAGTCTCATGGACTGTTCCTCCAGGGCTGGCTTTGAAATTCAATCCTCATATCTCAACCTCCTGAGTAACTAGATTACAAGTGTGAGCCGTGAGCACCTGGCTTCTAGTGGGCATCATTTTTTTTTTTTAATATATTGCTGTCCTGGGATGTGGTTTTAATTTATATTTCCTGACATGACAAGCATGTCTTCATGTATTTATCAGCTATTCAAATCTTTTCCCTTTGTTTACTACTGTGTCATCTCTCTAATTTGAATCCTAAGAGGTTTTTGTATATTCTAGACCCAAGTTCCTTATCATATGCACTACAACTATTTTCTTTTATCCTGTGACACATTACGGGGGGAATTCCTGTTTTCAGACACTGTCAGAAAGGTTAGCTGGGCACCAGTGGCTCATGCCTGTAATCCTAATTACTCAGGAGGCTGGGATCTCAGGATCGCAGTTCAAAGCCAGCCCTGGCAAGAACATCCATGAGACTCTTATCTCCAATTAACCACCAGAAAAACAGAAGTGGTGCTATGACTCAAGTGGTAGAACACTAGTCTTGAGCTGAAGAGCTCGGGGACAGCACCCAGGCCCAGAGTTCAAGACCCATAACTGATGACAAAAAAAGAAAAGAAAGGTTAGAACTGTGCTTGCCACCTTCTACCCCATTTCTACAGATCCCTGGAGCTAGGGCGCTGCTATGTAGGGAAGTTAGTAGAATGCAATGTACCCAGTCTTCACTGTTCTGAGGGCTTGAGTAGCTGGTAGAGAAAAAGGTATTACCATCTATAACAAAACAGCTAAATCTACTCTGCTGATGGGGCTGAGGGGCTGCTGCTGATAGCACCACCCTGTCTTGAAAATTTTTGATTCTGAAGCACCAGAACACTATAGGGCAGTCTCTGTCAAATTCCAATCCTGCCCACAGAAGCTCACCAGTTCACAGGATTTAAGACAGGTAGGAGTAAGAGAAAACCCTCAATTAGTTACTGTACCTAAATGATTGGGGCCAAAGGCACTTGGTGGTCATCTGAACCACTTCCCTGGCTCCCTACATTCTGCTTGATGTCCTTCCGGTGAAGATGCTTGCTCAGCCCCTGCTACTTTCCATCTTAGTCCACTTACTTGAACTTTGCTTGAACCCGGTAGCTGAGTGGACGATGACATTCAGGAAGCCGTAGAGTCCAGGAGATTCATCATCTGAGAAAGAAACCAAAAAGGTGAGGATAATCAGGAGAATGTCTGACTCTACTTTAAGAGCAACCCAGCACTGAGCAAGGCAGTTCAGACAGAAAATGTGCCCATTGGTTTCTGTGTTTGGAACCTTAAGACTTAGTTGGTTTCACAACACAGACAAATCAGTTGAGTGAGACAAAATATATTAAGGTTCCAAAGACAGAAGAAGACATCATCTGGGATGATCTGGGATGATGTAGGACATGAAAAGAGTGCATGTGTATGTGTGCACAGGTGTGTGAAAAACACAGGCCTAATGTGTGTATCAGTGAGCCCATGCGTAAATGTGTATCAATGAAGGCAAAAACTCAAGTGTGTTAGCCAGTAAGTACCTGGGCTAGAGGAAGACTAGAAGGGCAGGTCAGTGGGGCCAGATCATGGCATCGAGGGGCTGAGGGGTGGCTGTCACAGGCCTTGTGGCTAGGGACAGAATCTATCCTTCTTAACAGCCAAGTAGTGACTGCCTAGAGAGAAAATTGCTCCTAACCAATCCTAGAAGACAACAAGCATGGCAATGAAGACAGCACCAATAGGAGGGAGTTAAGCTGGCCCTCTACTCTGCGCCCAAGAGGTCCAACTCACCTTCTTTGTTGATGGTCAGTGGAATGCTATGGACAGTCTGAAGTTTCACACATGAGTTGGTAAGCATCTGCAGCTCCACAGATGTCAGAGAGAAGCTTTTGAAACCTGAGCAGGCAGAGTGGGTACAGAGATATGTCAGTCTATACCACTCTTCTGTGCCCCTCCCACTTGATCCTCATCACACATAGAAGGAGCACAACAGGGCCAGTGCTGGGGCTTGGTGGCTCCCTTGAGAAGTATAGCAATGGCACAGAGTCAGGTGAAACCTCAGAGAGCCCAGACCTGGCACCCTTGAAGAGGTATCCACACTGCCCACATACATGTCCACATATATCTACAAGCCACCAAAGACAAAGTAGGAGCAACACCCTGGGAAGTGGCACCAGTCAGCCTGCTATTGGTTTTATATCTCTGCTGGTTGAGAAAAAGTACTTATTTCTTGGCATAACAGTGAGTGGGAAACAGATGCTGCCACACTGGAAATGACTTGAGTACTCATGTGCAGGCAAAAATCCCTGGGACACAAGCCTCGGCAGAGCCCCTAGCTCTCCCCAGGCCTCAGTGGCACTGAAGAAAAGATGAGGCTCGGCTCAGTGTAGGTCTGAGTGATCAGTCTGCAGAGATGGGAGCTGAGGCTGATGCAGAGGCAGAGAGGTTGAGGCAGACAGAGCCCCAAGCCCAGAGTTGGTGTGTAGAAATTGAAGCAAAACTATTGCTTCAGCTGGGGTGTTTCAGTATGCCTATAAGTATAACTACTCAGAAGGCTGAGATCTGAGGACTGAGGTTTGACCTTAGCCTAGGCATACAAATCCAAAAGACTTTTAACTCCAATTAACTAACCAAAGATGCAAGAAACAAAACAAAACAAAACAAAAAAAACATGTGGAGGCATGCTCAAGTGGTAGATTTCCAACTATAGGCAAAAAGCCCTAGTATCAGCACACACAAAAAGAACCTACTGCAATGGAAAGACCAGGCCACCTAAGACACAGTGTGGCCTGATTCCAGGCAAAAGGAACAGGTAGGGAGCTGGAAGCTGTATTCCCAGATCTTGGGATGAAGTCTGGCTTACCAGTCCTTAATATTGCACACTGCCCCCTTGCCGCAGCACTGAAGGGCAGCTTGGAGTTCGAGAAGAAAGAAACCACATAAACTGTGACCAGAGAGACGAGACTATCCCAGACAGGACTAAGTGTTCTAAGTGTTCTGTCTTGATGGCTACCAGGTGGGCTCAGGGCCCTGCCAGCATCAGCACCTTTTTTGGGAGTGGGGAGGGGATGTATAAGAAAGGCCTGGTGAGTGGTGTGTATGTGCAGGCCCAGAGGGTAGACAGCAAAGCTGGGGAATTCAGGAAGGAATGGGAGAGAGAACCATGGTGGGGATGTGTGTACAGAGATCAGAATAGGTAAGAGGGAACAACAAAGCTGGGGAGCATCTAACTTGTTTTCTTTTTTGTCAGTCATGGGGCTTGAACTCTGGGCTGGGGTGCTGTCCTTGAGCTCTTCAGCTCAAGGCAAGCGTTCTACCACTTGATCCACAGTGCCACTTCCAGTTGTCTGGTGGCTAGCTGGAGATAAGAGTCTCATGGACTTTTCTGCCCAGGCTGGCTTGGAACTGCAATCCTCAGATCTCAGCCTCCTGAGTAGCTAGTATTACAGGCGTGAGCTACCAGTGCTGGGCTCTAACTTGTTTTCTAAATTTGAGTTCCTTATATATTCTTCTTGGATAGAATCCCTTCTTAGAAAGAAAGAGGTGGGGTGGGGGGAGAAAGGAGAGGTTTAAATGACTGAAGGTATGGAGGCTGGGAATGTGGCTTAGTGATAAGAGTGCTTGCCTAGCATACATGAAGCACTGGGTTCCATTCCTCAGTACCACATAAACAGAAGCCAGAAGTGGTGCTATGACTCAAGTGGTAGAGTGCTAGCCTTGACAAAAGCAGCTCAGGGACGGTGCCCAGGCTCTGAGTTTAAGCCCAAGGACTGGAAAAAACAAAAAGACTGAAGGTGTGGCTTAAGTGGGAGAGCACATGCCTAGCAAGCTTGAAGGCTGAGTTCAAATCCCGTAACTGTCAAAAACACCTAGAATAGAAAAAGAAAGAAGGAAAGAAAAAAGAAAGATGGTCTAAAACTGTAAGAGATGTCCATCCATAGTAGATAGCCAAAAGCCAAGTCTCCTGGGTACAGAGGCCACTCACACTTTTTCTGCTGCTCTCGTATATTCTCCCTCCACTCTGCTCGCTCATAGTCGGAGGAGATCAGGAATGTGTAACTCTATAGTAGGTGAGAAGAACAACAAACCCCAGTTATCAGCTGAGCCAGCATCTGGCAAGCCCAAGGGGAAGAGCTAAAGACTCACACCTCCCCAATGCCAGCTGGCTAGGCCCAGGTATGCTCAAGTGTGCCACAATGGCCAGGAATGCTCATGGTCAGGCTCACTGCTTCCAGCACAAACTGGTCCATAGTGTCTGCACACATTTATAGACTGAGCTGTGGCACAAGCCCAACCTGAACTGCTCAGGTCAGGGAGTGACACTAGTACAGTTGGTGCAGCTTCTGGTTTTGGAGGGGTTCTTAAAGGTGGAGATCTGCAGAGGTACTATCTAATTCCAACCCACAAGCCTATGCTGAGACAAAGCTACAGAACCTACCAGCTGCCTCTCCTGCCAGCTGCCAAAAAACAAACCATTCTATTCACTGACAGGTGTGCATGACACTGTGGAGAGACAAGACTCAGGCTACAGATAGCACTAGGAGCCAGACAAGGAGATAATGTGTGTCACTGGTCCTGGAGATTCCCAGATAGTGTTCCTGTATCCAGAGTCAGGGCTGTCCAAATCTGCAAGGCTGCTTGTCCTCTTCCCTTCCTGGAGATCCTGCCAACCTCCCAGCTGTAGGAGCTGAGCCAACAGCCACTCAACTTGGGGCCATGATCCAAAGAACTAGTCAGAAGAATATGTGTGCCTGCATGTGCCATGCCGACCAGGTCTCTCTTGGCACAGGAATGCTCTCAAGAGAAAAGGGACTACAGTTGCAAAGTCTTCGCAAGTGCTGAGGACAACAGCTGGCTGGATAAGTTTGGGCTGCAGCTGGTTGATCAAGACCCCATTCCAGGCTGGAAGCATCTTCAGGACTAGCTGGAAGGAGCCAGTAACAGGTACTCACCTTGCCATTGCGGTTATGGACCCTGAAGGCCATGCTGGGAGACATCAGTAGAAGCAGTGACTCCTGCTCTGACAACTTCTTCTTCAGCCTCTCCATGGCTTTGCTGACCTTGTTTGCCCTCTGCCAGGGAGAGGACAGTCTCATATTTCCATTCCAGGGCCACCTGCTCCCACACAGTGCCTACTGCTCTCAACACTGAGACGAGGGAAGGTGGAGATCCCACTGTCTGCTTAGTACAAACACAGACCTTGCTGGTAGCCTTTTGTGGATACACCCTCTCCTTAGGGTCAAGGCCCAGCACCAATTTTGCTGTGCTCGGTAAGCCTGCTTTGAGGGAATTGGTCCTTCCTCTCACAAGGAGAGAGGGGAAAAACCTTTACAGATTTCCTTGCATTCAACTTCTCCAAACATGGACAATGTGCAGGGGTTGTTATGAATGAGAAGAGCCCTCATCCCCTCCATGACCTGAGCACCAGCTTGCTGGGAGTGTTTTGGGGGAAATCCAAGTGAGTACAAACACATATCACCAGGACCTGGATGGGGAAATCCTCCCTGTCAAGAGCCCTGTGGATCCTTCCTAAAGCCCACTGCCATGAAGGCTCTGGCCTTCTAGATAGTCACCAGGGTTCTCCAACCTTTGACAATTAATAGAGGCCACTGTTCTAAACTCAAGTCTGTCTTGGGATTTCCCTTTCCTACAGTGCCAGGCTCTCCCCATGCAAGGGCTCATCCTCATTATGTCCATAAGCTTCTAAACCTCCCTGGAAAGAACCAGGTTCCCAAAGTCCAAAACAGCTGGAGGGGCTCATCCCTCATCAGGACAGTTGTGACTATTTATAACATCAATGTTGAGCTATACAAAATTATCAATATAGGCAGCCAATGAGAAGTATACCAGAAGCATATGTATCTTTCCTTTCATATACAGAATAACTTTGCTGGCCTTATACAGCCCATGGGGTGGATATTCCTTACTTTTGTCCTATAAAAGCCTTTCGTTGCCCCAGTTGAGTTGTGTACACCTGTAGTCTTGGCTACTCAGGAAGCTGAGGCAGGAGGATGACTTGAACCTAGGAGTTCTGGGCAACCTAGTAAGATGCTATCTCCTAAAAAACCCAAACAAACCAAATATTCTACTAGGTGCCACTAGCATGGGCTTTCGTCCTACCTAGAATGACTTCCAAATGGAAGGCTACCATCTCAATTCATTGTGTCCTATCTGCCTAGGATCTGTAAATAATAATCTTCCAACTTCTTTTTTTTTTTGGTTGGTTGTGAGGCCTGAACTCTGGGCCTGGGCACTGTCCCTCAGCTCTTCAGCTCAAGGCTAGCCCTCTACCACTTGAGCCACAGCGCCACTTCCAGCTTTTTTCTGCTTATGTGGTACTGAGGAATCGAACCCAGAGCCTCATGCATGCAAGGCAAGCACTCTACCACTGAGCCAACTTCCCAGTCCCTCTTCCAACTTCTTTTTGTTTTTTTTTTTGGGTCCGGTCGTGGGGCCTGAACTCTGGGCCTGGGTGCTGTCCCTCAGCTCTTCAGCTCAAGGCTAGAGCTCTACCACTTGAGCCACAGCACCACTTCCGGCTTTTTTTCTTTTTGCTTATGTGGTGCTGAGGAATCGAACCCAGGGCCTCATGCATGCAAGGCAAGAGCTCTACCACTGAGCCACCTTCCCAGCCCCCCAACTTCTTTACTACTATGGTGCTGTGCTGAACTTCTACCTTCCAACAGAAGAATCATGGGCTATCCTAGCCTAGGTCTTCCCTGGGATGCAGATGGGGATAGCGGTGGGGCTAAGAGGACAAAGGAACATGGTCAGGATCCTAACAACCAGAGTGATGATCAGGCAGGATTAAAATGGACAAAGTTCAGACAAGAGCCACTGGTATAACCAAGTTTTCTATGTGAGATTCTAGGTCAGACACCTGGTCATTAGGCTACCTGCCAGGTAAAATAAGTACTCTGTAAAAGGTATACAATGAACATCTAGATCCAGAGCCTTTCATTTCCCATCAGGACCAGGTTGCTAGTGGCTCTAGTATGAGAACCCTAATTTAGCTGGGCTCTTAGGACCACTCAGTGTCTGGCTATGAGCAGATAAGACATCCAGCACTCCAAGAGCTGAGAGTTGCTCACCTAGGCCCCATCAAGTCCTGGAGACCAGATGCTTGGCAGAAAGAATAACTATTGGCTTGTGCACAAGGGGCTGCTACCCACTCAGGCCACACAGGGCCTGGCTCTTGTTCTCTCAGCCGGTCGTACCTTCTCTCTCTGGATGTCACTCTTGATCTGAGAGATCTTGATCTTCAAGGCATCTAGCTCCTCATCTGGCACCAGAGGGATGTTGGGTGCTGCCTCTGACTCGTCCACCATCTGGAAGCTGAGATCCGTGAGTGGAATGTACCATTTGCAGTCATACTGTTGGGTTTTGCTGGATAGGGAGAAGAAGAACGTTAACTTGATGACTATTTTCCTTTAATAATGTCACAACTTTTCATTCCTGCTAGAGAGCCCTAGATTCACAGCTGTGCATGGTTTATGTGACCTAAAGCCCAATCTGTGTTCCATGAGGCTATTAGCAGATACTGGCAACCTCGGTGTCTCCTGGGAACATTTATTCCACATGTGACTCCAGGCATCAAGGTATCTGAGAAGCCATGGGTCCCTTCATCCTGTGCTGATCTTGATGTTGGTGCTCACATTGGGAACATGATAAGATACCCAATGGCAGGGCAGGACTAAAGTTCAGAGCTGCAGAATTTGAGAAGCTGCAGATATATTCAATACAATTTCTTCACTGGACAAATGAGGGGACAGAGGCTCTCTATTAGGCTCCACAAAAAGCAGAACACAAGAGCTCAGTTATGGTTCTTTCCAATGTGACCCTCTTTGCTTTATTCAATTCTGGGTGAGGCTGACCCCTGGTGGAGTGCGGGGAGATTTGCAAGCCTATGATGAGAATAACTTGGCCACCATCACCAGGTTCAGGGAGTTAAACAGATTTGCCTAACAATATATTCCCAGAGCAGGCCCTTCACTTGACATACTTTTCTCAGTTTTTTTTTACAGCCAGTCCTTCCTCCAACTGTACGTGACGGACAGTCAGGTTTACTCCTCACGTTCGAAGATGAAGCTGAATGACTGGCCCTGATTAGTAGTGACACCTTTGACTTTGAGCCTGGAATCATGTCTGTGTGAAAGTAGAATTTAAAGAGAGGCACCTGGCCACAATGTTTTAATCATGCCCCAGAGGGAGACCATCAATACCGGAGTGCTGAAGCAGTCGCCACTTGGGTAAATGTCACTCACCCTCCACTCTGCTTCTTGAGTTTGGTGCAGAGGAGCAGGTCCGTGAACAGGAAGACGTGACGCAGCTTGCGGGCTCCCTCCACCAGTTCCACCATGAAGCTGTCCTTCAGCAGCTGCCGGTGCTATATGCATGGAAGAAGGTCTCAAGTTAGGACTAGCATGGGTGGTATGGGATGAAGTAAGCTGGGTCTTTCCAATTGGTAAGAGTAAACGGACCTTCTGGAAAACTTTTTCCCTTGGGAGATTTCATCCCCTCTATATCCAACTCTCAGACCCACTTTCTGCAATGTTCCATCCATCTCATCAAAATGCTAAGAGGAGGGGCTGGGAAGGTGGCTCACAGCAGTAGAGTGCTTGCCTCACATGCATGAGGCCCTGGGTTCGATTCCTCAGCACCACATAAACAGTAAAAAAAGGCTGCAAGTGGCACTGTGGCTCAAGTGGTAGCACGCTAGCCTTGAGCTGAAGAGCTCAGGGACAGCACCCAGGCCCAGAGTTCAAGCACCACGACTGACCCCCCCCCCCAAAAAAAAATGCTAAGAGGAGCTATGTGTACTTCTCTTGACTTCAGAAAGTCAAACTACCTGGAGTGTGCAGCTCTACACAAAGAAATGTCCAGGGCCTCCTAGCCCTGAATTGACAGAGTCCTAAACACATTTCTAGCCAGTCAAAGAACAGAGTGGAACATCGCAGAAGGGCTATAATCAAGGGAACCAAAAACATTTCTTGAGTCCTTCCTGGGTGCTTAGATTGGAGAAAAGGCTTGGTGGATGTAGGGCAGTGACAGTCACTGGCCTGGGGGCCACAGAGGATCATTTACAATCAAACAAATGCTCTAAGGAAGAATGACAGGAGAGTCCTCTTTAGACAAGATAGCTGGTACCCCTCTGGGGTAGCAAACCAGGACCCAATATTAGCAAGAAACTAGTCATGCAAAGGAAGAGCTGTTCCTATATAGAGATGAAACTGGCACTGTGGGTAGAGATGAGGCAATCCCAGCGATAAGATGGTAGACACAAGAGTAATCTCAGAGGGCCAGTGCTTCAGGTAAGGAAGGAAGGGGCTAATTCAGAAGGAAGCCAGGGGCCTTGTACCTGGGAACCCACTTTCCAGTTCTGACTAGACAGGATGGGCAGGATCCAAGTGGGAGTATCTCCTCTGTTCTTTCCCAGTCACTTGCTGCCTGAGAACTTAGCCCTTATGTACAGCATAGGCAGTCAGACCGAGGATAAGCTAGGAAATGGAAAATATGATCTCCCCAATAAGTCCCAAACCTTTCTTCACCTCAGTACTTTATCTGAAAGTCAAGGCCAGTCCTTTCTTACACAGCTCAGGGGGCTACTGAATGGACATAATGCAGCAAGTTTAATCAGTCATCCAACAGATCGGCACCTCATGAAGGGCCAGCTTCTGTGGTAAGCCAAGGACAGAGTCAGGATGAGAGGTTGATGCTGCAAACAATCACTATACACACACTGTTCTGTGCAAGTGCATTGTCCAGTTATGATTCGTTCCCTACCATGTACTTTGATCATATGAAAACTGAACTTGTATTTCAGTGAGCAAGCAATATATACTTATTGGTTTCTACAATGCGCAGGAGATCCCTGGCTTTAAGGAGGCATGACAGAGAAGGAGACCCTATTCCACACTATCTCATCACAGTGGGATAAGCATGGGGTTCATCTGTAGGTGAGCCACACAAAACCAAGTGCATCAAACTCACCTTCTTGCCAGTAAGAGGTACACTCATCTTCATCTGAAGAAGTGGCATAGCCAGAATGGATGAGGATGAGGGGAGGGGGACTGCCACTGCCACCTATAGCCTCTCCTTCTCAGCGTGCCCCACACTGCAGGAGCTAGAGGCCTATGGGCCTCTCAGAAGCAGATGCAGTCTAGGCCAGGCCCCCTCCCTACCTTTAGGCATGGGGATCACATGTCATCGCCAAGGGTACTCAGCTTAGTTCACCTGGCTGCTGGCACGGGATTTTTTTTTTGTTTTTTTGCAGAACTGCTGGTGCCCATAAGTGGAAGGGCAAGAAGGCTATTGGCGTGCCAAGGCCATGACTCATCGTCACTCATGCTTTACTGCCTCCCTCTCCCTCCCCCCAGCTCCCCAGCAGAGGGCAGACAGCATGCCTGGTACAGGCATCCACAGGAAGCAAGAAACCTGTGTGCATTCTGGGGAAGCCTCTGGGAAGCACTGGAGGGAAAATTCCAGAGACCTGGTTACAGTCTGCTGGGTCTACTGTGGGAGAAAAGAGACAGCCCTGAGACACTAAGGTCCTGAAAGAACGACTACACAAACATATGCTCAACGGGGACATATAGTAAGATTTCCTAGTATAGTGGGTGGAGATAAAGTGAACTTGTGAAGGGCAGTGACATGCAGAGATAGCAATTTTTTCTCCAAAGGGGCTGAGCTTTCTCCAACCACCAGCAGAGGGCACCTTAAGCTCAGCTCAGAAGCTACAGGTCAGAAATGGCTACTCCCTAATAGTGACTGCAAACTCAATCTGGTTTAGGAATGCATTTTTGATACTGTGATAGTTGCCAGATCCATCTCTCCTATCCATCTCACCTCTACCTGGGACAACCTTCATCTTTTTAAGAGAAGCCACAAGTCCCAACTGCCCTGAGCCACAATGCTGTATTACACCCATCTGTGTATGAGCTGTTCCAAGAATGTGTGAGTTGGTGCGTTTCATAAGCAGGCCCCTTGTAGCTTGAGTGATAGATAAGTGGTGGCTACAATTTTTTTTTTTTTTTTAACCAGGACCTTATCTAAACCAGGGATGCCTAAGGAAGAGCTGGATCTGGCTTCAGGAGATCAAAATATCTGGAGTCTGGCAGTTCTACCCAGAGAAATGTCCAGAGAATCAAAAAGAAGGCCTTCTAGCACTGAGAATTGACAGGATCCCAAACACAATTCTAGCCAATCAATGAACAAGGAGTAGAACATGGCAGAGGGGCTCTAATCAAGCGAACACAGTGGGAGAAAAGAAGAGGTTGGGAAGAAGAGAGAACAACCTAGAGCCAGGCTTATAGGACAAGGCCTTCTTAGACCTGGGAAACAGATTCTCAAAGACCCACAGTTTAGGGACCCCGATGTTTGGGCAGATGCCTCCTCCTGGCTTAGAAGGTCAGCCAGGCCTGGCTGGAAGCTGCACACTGTGGTGGGAGATTAAAACATCCTCCTACTCTCATGAGAGAACATCAGATCTGCACCTGCATGTATTTCAGAAAATGGCAGGCCCAGGACAGATGACCCAAAAAGGACAGAATTGGAAGACCCGGGCAAGAGTTTAGCCTCTTTGGCCAGGCACTCAGAGACCCCCCCAGGCTACATGTCTACCACCTCTGCTTCCTCATTCATTCTTGCCCTAGGACCCAGCCTTTCTGTGGGAAGGAAGGTCACCTAGGCCTGGTTGGGCCAGCCCACATGGCGCCAGCAGAAAGCTTGAAGTCTTTAGTCTCTGCCAGCTCAGAAGACAACCCATTCTAAAGGGCTCATCAGCCTGGCCAAGGGTCTGGGAGTGCAGGCAGGATGATTGGAACACAGGCAAGGGGAGGCTGGGCCACCCTAGGTCACAGCCCTTAATGTATCTTCAGAATGGTGTGAGGTCATGTGGTTAGAAAAAGCCAGAGGACAGAGAGGGCTTGGACCTTGCTGGAGCCAGGACAGGGAAGCATCATGCTTCAGAAGTGAGAGGCAGCAACTTAGAAGAGGTTGGGTGAAAAAAGTGGTAGAGGGAAGGCAGCAGGTGGCAAGGTTATATTCTTTCTGGGAGCTCCTTTACACCCAGGTGGAAGTACCAGCTGGAATGGACACCACTGCGGTTTCAAATAACCAATAAGACGGCCTGAGAGGGAAGGGGTCCAGGACTCTCCCACCCTCACTGCCTGCACATTCTTTTTCTGCTGAGATGTCAGCTTGGTTACTTCATTTCTTTGACTTTCAATTTCCTTAGAAATCAGATGTGGGGTTCGGAGTATAGCTCAGTGGTAGTGTGCTAGCACAGCACCCCAAACAACAATAAAAAAAATGAAGAGGAGCTGGGCAGTGGTGGCTCACATCTGTAATCCTACTTACACAGGAGACTGAGATCTGAGGATCGCAGTTCAAAGCCAGTCTGGGCAGGGAAGTCCTTGAGACTCTTATCTCCAATTAACCACCAGAAAACCGGAAGTGTTTCTGTGGCTCAAGTGGTAGAGCACAGGGACAGCACCCAGGCCCAGAGTTCAAGCCCCATGACTGACAAAAAAAAAAGGACCTGTCTAGTTGCACTTTTTGGAGGATTTAGTGCAATAGCATGTCTATGGACTTGGTACACATAAGCATCATGTTTAGAGTTCCTCATGCATCATGCCTCTTCTTACTTTGAACCTATGAGGGCCTCCATTAGGCTATGAGGAGGGGGGATTCCTCCTTTCCCTAGGCTGGCAGCCTCTTCTAGTACACTACTACAGGCTGAATGTCTGGGTCATCACTCTCCCCCATTTGTCATTTAAAGCCTTAACCCCCAATGTAATGACAGTTAGTGAGGGGAGCTTTAAGAGTGATTACATTTAGGTGAGGTCACACAGGCAGGACTCTCATAACGGGATTAACGTCTCTGTGGAAAGGCCAGATGAGGACAGTGAAAGCAGCCAGCTATAAGCCAGGAAAAAGGTCCTCATGCTGGCACCCTAACCAGCAATGAGATAATGCCTGTATGGTGGTACACATCTGTAGTCCCATCAACTCATAAGTCTGAGATAGGAAAATCATTGGGCCCAGAAGTTTGGGGCCAGCCTGGGTTGCTAAAACCTCCCAGTGTATACTATGACATATAACTAGCCCTAGGAGCATTGAAAAAAAAATCATTTCAGGTCCAGGAACTGTATTTGGTCATCAATACATCAGGCAACACCTTGACAGTGTGACAGGAAAAGTCACCAAGGAAAGCCCGGGTGGCAGTTGAAAAGAGAGGATGCATAGAACAAAAAGGCGGACATAGGAGTAGACATGGAGGGGACAGCTGCTGGCCATGAGTAGGCCTTGGGATGGCTCCAAGTGTGGATTGAATGTGGAATATTCTGGCCCTGGAAGTAGCCAGCGGATCCTGCCCCCACTCCTATG